CGGGACGTCTCCGACACCCGAGTTCAATACTACATTCACACTCTAAGTTCATGCCTTTTTGCTGAAATCGATCGACAATCGACAGTGAACATACATATTTCATTTTCGTACTCTTTCGAATATTTAATGTAATATGTATATGTAATAATTTAAACTACTAATACAATTTTCTAACTTATTCACTTTATATAATTTTCAAGTGACTCGACTTGCATTTTGTATGCATTTTCAAATGACTCGACTTGCATTTTGTGTGCATTTTCAAATAGAATTTTGCAAAATTTAAAAAATAAATTTATAGATTAATCGACACAAGGTCCACGACCTAACCACACACACACGTGTAACTTGTGTCGATAATTCACTGTCAATTTGTCGATCGCCAAAATATCTTAAAACTAAACCGTGTCCACCTGCCCTAACTCATGCGAGTAGCAACTAAGCACGCGCATGAATTTAGAGCATAAAAATGAACACGGCCACATGTATTTTGACCTACCAGTTTTCTTCATGTGTGCTGAAAATCCTGAGCTAAAAACATGATTAGAAACATGCTAATAAAGTGTCTTCCAGCAAAATTTGACTTTAACTATAAAAAACTTTCAAAATGGAAAATGGAAGATCACTTTGCAAAAATCTAAGTATATCGGTAGTTGTCTTCCAGCAAAAATTGACTCTAACTTTAAAAAATGTTCAAAATGGAAAATGGAAGAACACTTTGTAAAAAGCTAAGTATATCGGTAGTTTCATTCTTAACAGATTTGTGATATCAAAGTAAATTTCTAAATGATTCAAACATTCATAAATAACTTTGATATCGAAATCTGTTTCTCGCGATACTTTCTTGTACATTTAATTAAAAAATTTTCACGCATACGTAAAAATTGAAAGTGACTCGATAATTATATGAAAGTGACTCGACAACTACTGTGAAATCGGAGGGTCATCCGACTTCTATGTACTAATTTTAATTTTAGATTGAAAAGAAGTTAAAACGCGATGTACAAGAAAAACCTGACCTGAGCTAATAAATGAAATAAACAGTTTGTACGAATTTTACACGATCGTACAGTCGTGGTCACTATGCTCGC